GCCTGACCCCATCAGTGCCGACCCAACTACACCACCACGCGCATGCCTCGCGGCGGATATGCGCAGCAGCAAGAAGGTTTCGGTCATCCCTTGAGGGTGAGTCTAGCCCTGCTCGCCAGAAAGACCCCCCCCTTCACTACAACCCATGTCTAAGCAAAAGCTTGTCGAGGAGCGAGGGGAAGAAGGGAGGAGTGTGGCCAGCAATAATAATATTCCGTTACCGACTCTATCAAACACTCTGGCCGCATATCCATTCTTTTGGCTTGGCCAATCGCATCGCGAAGATTTGGGGTGCGTGCATGCCCTCTTCTAGATAATAAAATTGTTTTTCCTAAATACTGCTGTAAAAAGCCCCCCTCGAACGACTATGATTTTCGCTCGAACAGGGAGCTTTTATGTGTTTAACGGGTAGTCTTTCTGTGTGCATATTTGTTTTTCCTAATATATGTATTTTTCTAAATTAAACCAGCAACTACTGTCAACATGACATATTGCGCCGTGTTCCCTGTGCAGGCCACATGTAAATGTACCTACGCAGATGTTTTTGTGCTAAGCAACAACTGGTATCACTGATATTAATCATCAGTGTATAGGCTTAAACAAACTCGAAATAAGTCAAGTACCCAGCTGGTTTTCCTCTACTCACTACTGTAAAGACTTCAACACATCCCCTTCGAGTGTAGTTATACCTCGAACGGGTAGTCTTTCTGTGTGTATATTTGTTTCTCCTAATAATATATTCCTACACCCAGAGGGCACATGATTTCTACCTGGGGACCGCTCCACCCCAACAAGACGAATTGCAATTGCAGAGAGTAGCGATGGGCAGCAATGAACAACAAACCGCCACGAGAGTGTAGATCACACAGTAGTCTAGTCTACAGTAGTACGCTATCAAGCAGGTGTGATAGGATTCCCGGCGCAGGGCGTGTTAGGAGTGACAGCACGCAGTAAAAGTAATCCGTTGTAAAGAATCCTCGTCTGCAGGTAGGGCGGTTAACACACGCCTGGCATGGTCAACTGCCCTAACAAGGTGATACATCCCAAAGCAAGTTGGGCTCAGTGTAGCGTATCCAACCGGTGTCCTAGAGGATTTCGCCACTGGCATGGTCGCGCAAAGAGGCAAGACACAGAGTGCCAGCTCCTCTTCTTGTACAGGAGTTGGCAGCAATATTTGATGGACCCACGACTCGCCTCATTGGTCGGGGGGATGAAACGTTGGAACATGAACTGAGCAGAACAACGAGGGAAAAACCCACCATGAGTTGCGCGAGACAGCAAAGCATTGGATATCAAGACCAAAGAAAACTCGAGTCATGTTTCACGGCACGCCCTATTCGTATTTCCACTAAAAAAGCCTCTTTTTGGTCCTCGGCTCGATGTTGGGGAGTCCGTCGCTTCTTTCAATATATTATCACATTTGCTCTCGTTGTTATTGCTGTTGAAGCTTCCCTCAAGTTGAAAACCCGTTTTACATGCCTTCTCTTCTCTGCAGTACTCTTCACAAAACAAAAACTTCCTTGACCACAAGCGTACCCAAGACTTCGGTAGAACTATCGTTACCAAGTACACTGCTGCGAGCTCTTTCCTACGACATACTCCGAAGTATGTCGCCCAGCTCTACATTCTCGAGCTTCTGCGTCGTAGTCACACGGCCGGCGTATTTCTATAACCTCGTGGTATTATTAATAGTTTCCACCTGTCGCGAGGAAAAACAAGTGTAGTAGTAGTTCTCGGATGCTCTCGCGTCACTTATCGAAGGCGGCCAAGGACACCGCGGGCGGTGCGAAGCTCGCGGCCATGGTCTCGCCGTTAAGCAGCACCTGCGCCGGGTCGGCTTGAATACCAGGGTACGAAACCGTCGGCACAGCAACAGCGACGGTGTTCGGCGGCGCACCCACACCAGAATGAATCCGTTCTGTTCCTCGCCCCGGTCTTCGAGTCTGGCAATCGTCGGAGGCGGCAGCCGCCGTCGCCGCACGGTTCTGCCCGCTGTCTGGACGTATTCCAATGCCGCCGTCTTTCTTAACGCCACCCGTGTTCATTGCTGATGTTTCGTTGGCGCCACGAGGAGGAAGCGGAGCAGCCTCCACTCGGGCAAGGCTTTTCGTCGAGTTAGCACTCTGGTCGGCGACAACACTGTCATCGTACGTTGAGCAACCACCGTTCTTACCGGTGGCGCTCCCCCCGTTGGTGTCGGCGACAGTAGAGGGTGCCTCGATTGCGTTCATTGGTTTATCATGCGCCAGTCCCGCCCTCTTTATTTGGGCAAACGAGGCCGGCGGCCGCGTGCCGAGGGAGATGGTCCTGAAGTCCGGGTTTCTCACCACCAGCGTATCTCTGCTCTGGATTTTCTCATACGCCTCTGTCGAGACCTGTCGATGGAGACAAGGAGGAGTTGCTGACGCAGAAAAGCAGAAAAAAACGATATTTTGAAGGGGGAGACACGAAACGAGCGGGGAATGGCAGGATCCCAAGGTATCCTCTATCCGCGGGAACGCGACGGAGAAAACGGACTACGGCTGCGTCGGGCAAAAATACGAACAAAACTGCGGGGTAAAAAGCATCACAATAACCCTTCGCATCACAATGGGCCCTTCGTTTTCGACAGGCCGGGCGAACGTTTGGTTGCGCAAGGACAAGGGGGAAGAATTCCGTTTGCCGCCTGCGTACGCATGGACCACCGATATCGTACCATCGGAAAAGATGTAGATGAAATGACGAGGCGAGACCTATTCGTGAGGGCGTGAAGTTCGGTGTGGCGCATGTTCGCGGTGCGACTAACGATAGCCCCTACCATGGAAAGCCAGGTCAGTAAGGAGACAACGAGATGGAGAAGGGGACCGAGTAGGGTTGGCAGACCCAACGGGACACGAAAAAGCTACACGCAGTTTCAGTCGGCCTCTCAATACCGCGACAGATGCACCCACTCGACTGATGCAGTTGCAGCGCTTGCAGCGTCTTCCACAGGTACGGAGGTACATCTTTCGATGCCCTGGTTCGCTTCGCTGGAGCGAACCCCTACACAGAAAGCGGCGACGTACTTGAAGCTTGGGATGGCGACACGCCAAATACGACGGAAGTGGTGTTCATTCCATCCCATGTGTTCACTATCGCTTGCATTCTCCATTCACCCCACGGCCTTGTCTCCCTGGCCGCCGAGTTCGTTAAAGGTATGAAATATTTGTTTATTGTGATATTCCCTTCCCTTAACAGAACCTGCGCGGCCGACGGCTAGGTTAAAATCTCCTCTTTTCGACTGAGGACGCCAACCGCCGAACGGCGCACAAGATGAACGTACGGAGGTGGCACAACTTCGTCGTGCGGAAAGAGTAGTCACAACAACCGGCAGTGAACGTGCTCGGAGGGGGTGTGCACAAATGACGTAAGGCAGCAAAAATTGCGATCGAGAGGATTTGCACCGAAACGGTACACGCACACCTCGGCCAGGCGCTCCGAAGTATCGAAAGCAACCACGTCAATCGCTTCCGTAATCAAGGCGCGGGGTGCCCTTGCTCACCGAGTACAGGGACAAGACCGCGCACTCCCCGCTGCGGTCCACCACGACCAAGCGCTCCGGCGGCTGTGAGCTCTGCCCCGCGGGCATGACGACCTGCGGTCCGGAACGCGAACACGTTGCAGCGTTGCAGCTCGAGGTCGGGATTGAACCCGGACACTACGGGGGGTAGGGGCCGCAGGATGGGTCCTTTTCAAGAAGCTCGTTCGGCACGGCAAAGCTGTACGGCACGAGCAAGAGTTGTGGAGACATTGGTTTCGCTGCATGCTGTCCACTATGGTGCAGAGATCGATGCAGGGCAGGGCGGTGGTTATCCGACAAACATCCAATGCAGTGCGAGGTAATGGCTATCTAGCGGCGTCGATTCTAAACAAAAAAAACAGCCAACCTCCGGTACGACACAGTAGGCAGGCAGTCGATAAAACGATGAAGGGTAGTGGGGGCACCAAATTCATGAGTTTACGGGCTCACCTCTTGGTAGTGTGCCAAGCGTACAAGTACTGGGCACTCACTTTGGCGTGCTACGCTCCATCGGTTAGGTGCAAAATTCAGCTCTGAGTCATCAGGCTCTGGTTTTGATATGACGTTCTGTTTTTCCTGCTTAAGTTGAACTCACGAACGTTGGAGGAACGTTTATCATTCCAAAATGGAAAATCCTTGAGGTGAGAGTTTTCAGGATTATCATCACGTACTAAGCGTATAGCCTGTAGCAACGGATATCGTTTGCTACCCATTGAAACCGTACCTAACTTATGAGCCGTATGCGTTCGTCCCATTTATTCTTGCTCCAATCGAACAACAACAACAACAACAACAACTGCAACATGTTCTACACTAACCATAAAAAATCACCTTCAGCGCAACCGCCACACCCATGTTTCTCCCCAAGCGTAGCTCTCTCAGGCCCACCAAGCGATAGGTGTCCCCAAGACCACTTCGGAGCGACTCCCCCCGAAGCAGCGCAATCAGCTGCGATAAGCGTTTCGTCTTGAGGCCTCCCTGGAGCAAGCGGGGGTGAACGACACACAAATAGCAAGCCCTGGGTGCCACGGAATCGGGCATCAAGAAAAGAGAAAAGCGCCAAAAAAGGCTTCTCTTCGGTCGTCTCTCGATTGAACAACACACGGGTGACGAAACCCGAACGGTACGTTTGGAGAAGACTCTCATCGTAAAAAAAGTGCCCACAGAATCACTGACAAGCTGTTAAACTTGTAAACGTGTCACCTGAATCCTCATCAGAAAAGCGTATGATCGTGCTACGCGGTGTTACCTGAATCTTCGTCAGAAAAACGTATGATCGTGCTACGCGGTGTTACCTGAATCCTCGTCAGAAAAACGTATGATCGTGCTACGCGGTGTTGTTAGAAACGAAAACGGAACAACAATAATATCTGTTTTTTTTCTCACCTTTTTCTCGACCAGTTTTGACAGCCGGTCAACCCCAGCCTCAATGGAGTGCAGCGCCTGATTAACCGGAAGCAATGGGTCGAGCTCTCGTGCAAGCCTCGAAGAACATGGTGCAAACAGTTCGTGGCGAAAAAGTGAAAAAAAGAAGAAACACACGCTACTGTTGTAGGCGGTTCAATCAGCGTGGGGCTAGTAAATTCTGGTGTCACTACACTGCACTTTCATCGTTCTACAGCAAAAGGAACAAAGAATTGCACCACTTGGTCATAACAGTCGAAGGTACGGGAGACGGCACTCAACCTGGACAGGGAACTACCGTCTACGACATAAGGGAAAACATCCCCTGGGACGATTTTCAAGGCTCGATTTATCAACCGCAGAAAGAGTCGCAGCGCCGAATCCGGCGGTGTTGATGTCGTCTGGTCGAGAGCTCCCCGAAAACGTTTCGTTCCGTTACGCATCCTCTTCGTCGTTGAGTAATCGAGCGTTGAAAAATCGGTCGAAGGGGTGTGATATCTTGTGTCGTATTCGGTAGGTGGGAGGTGGGTGTTCTGCCGAAACCGAAAGCAAAGCCATGATGAAACATGGGCGACGAAAATAAGGATGGGGCATTGATCGGAGTGGGAGCGATCGCTCGACCCATTCCTCGGCTCTCGTGTATGCATACAACGCTGCAAAACGAGACCGCGATCAAAGATGAGCCTGAAAAAAGTACAAGACAAGGCTAGCACGCTCTCAGGTGGCCATTACTTTGGGTGCGCAACGTATATGAATTGATACTTCGTGCGGATGACGAAATTATCACAAATCATACACCGCGACGCACGCTCAGAGGAGGCCGGGAGGCTGGCAAAACCGTTCATGGTTTCTGGGTGATCAACTAGGGTGACGGGCCCACAGAATGACCAACGATTTTCCAGGGGGGGGAGGCTATTCCCGTGTTCACACGCAGGAATGCTCCCGCGCGTGCCTCGGAAGCCATCGGTGGTAGACTAGAACATGACGACATCCCGAAAAAGAAGCGTACTCTTCTCGAGAGACAAAAAACTCGATCAGGACTATGTAGAATCCGCCACGACCCATGGGCCGGTCAACCGCCGCCCCCACCGGTACCGTAAAAGGTCGAGAGATGGCACCCGCCCAAGAACAACTGTCAAAGCTCCATTGCTCCTCAACTATGGGCATGCGGGAAAAGCCCAACCATTCCACGGAAAGCTCTCTACCAGAACTTTCCGAAACGCCATCTCTGGTTGTTGGCACAGTCTTGGTTACGGAGCGATCGGGCTTTGACAATCGGATCTACATAGGGGTGTGTGTGATCTCTGCGCCTCATGGGGTATTCCACCCTGACTCCGCAGAGCCGTTGCTGACATTCACGGCCACCAAGGCAAAATCACACCTTAAGTCCCGAATAGATTCGGGGTAGTCCTCTCGGTACTGAAACACCTGGGCCCTGTTGAAGAACAGGTCGGGGTTTCCTTCCTCACCACCGTAGGCCTCCTTTGGCAGTAGTTTCGGTACGAAACAGGGGGTTTTAGGAAAGGCTTTGGTTGTGGTCGCAAGCGGAGCGGTAGATGCACAGAAAGGGGGCAGCGTAACGAAGGAATGTTTTCGTAGGACCGGTGCGCTAAAACTTCCTCCTCAAAAGGGGCTCCGTGCTGTCGTAGAAAGCATCCTTTGGCCCCATCCCCTCTGCCTCCGATCCGTCCCGGCATAGTGGGGATACAAGGTCTAACGACGAGGGCCTGCGTTCACGTGGGTACATCACCCCCCAGGCTCAAATGAATAGTAGGAAATAGCTGCGCCAACCAGCCGGAAATCGCCCAACCTACACACCGGGCGCGAAGCTACACGCCGGAGATTTGGCAAGTTGCTTGATTCTCAGGAGGTGGAGACCGAGGCGATGCGTCACATCCGCAAAAATACGTTATTGGATGACAATACCCTCATCTAAGACGACGGGGGTGAACCGACTGGTAACATGTGGACGCAAATGTTGTGTGCTCGCGCCTCTCGAGATTTCACACCGTGTACCCAAACCGCTCTGGTGTCCGCCCGCCCACCTCACAAAGCTCACACGCCACCACAATCTTAACAACGCGTTCGAGCGCGTATACAGCATGCTGACGATGACAACGGTATCATTGTCGACTCGAAAAAATATTCGTGGGCAACGGTATCTTGTGCACTCGATGCCAAGTACCAGCCACAGGATGGGGTTGGTTGACCTCCTTTGACGAGGACAAGAAAAACGTTGATTGCTCGGCCAAACACCATGCGTGGACCATAGTAGCTTGTGTCGGCAGACACAAAGACTACCCTGGCTTTCTAGGCAAGACACTGTTTGTCCAGACGATGTAGTTGATGGTTCTCCGGAAAGAATGGTGGTGGTTTGGTGGTTGAGCAATCAACGTCAGCAAAATCCCCAGATGTGAATGCCGACGGGGCTCAACATGGCCGTGAGACCTCTTGCGTACCGGACCGATTTCCTTTCCTTTTACTTTCTACCTCGCGACACAGCGCGTTGGTCTCGAAACAAGGCGGAACCTAGCAAACAACGCACCCCATCATGCGAAGATTCTTCCACAAACGCCCGGTAGCCCTGGAAAAACCAATGAAGATGGTGGCGACGGAGCGATATCTCATACACAACTAAAGCCTGTTTCCTCTAAAGTCATCTCACCGCCTTCTTGTATGCCTGCAAAGCCCGGTCGAGGTCCTTGATTCCCCTGGAGCTTCTGAAGAAGGAGGCCACGTAGCCGTTACCCAACACGTACCAAGAGTCGCCACACCCGATGTCCAGAGTAACTGCCTCCTTCGCGAACCGCAGGCTTTCCTAAACATTGTAGAGGGGATGAGCAATGAAAATCACAACCAAAAGGCTTGTCGAGAGGGAAGTAGTGTTCTTGCCGCTGATAGTGTCAAGGCTCGTGCTCCGAAGAAAAAATCAAATTGACCTCCCACCTTGGCGTTCCTCTTCTCCCTGTGTGTTTTGTTCGTGCCAGCCCAATCGGCAACGAAACGACGTTGACAGCAACAGGCGAGCAGGCGGTCAAAGACGAAACCTCCAAAATCTAGCTATGTAGACTAGAAGGAGCCTCAAGGGGGGCTCCCTTCCACACGGAGGGAGAGCCCACAGCCGGGGGGGCGTCAGTGACACCGACTGACTACATCGCGCTGGTGGCTTTCTATAGAGGCGGCAAAGTTGCTGGGCACAACTTGACTATTGAACCCCCCCACCGCACCTGTACTTGGGCGCCCTTCTCTTCCGCCGTGCCCGGCATCTGCCTCAAGAGCATAGACAGCTGCCGCAGTGTGTCTGCCTTCCTTGCCTGGAAAACGGAAAGGGACAGGGCCATTTTTAAGTGTCCGCCTTGATAAGGGACAAGCCGACAATCGAGGGAAAGAGTTTGTGCCTACCGTTTCCGCCTAGGTTCATGCCCATGACTACCCTGGGGTTGGGATAGATGACCAGCAACCACCGGTGTGAGATGCACGGGGTTAGCATCGTGGTTGGCATCCTTGACGACACGGCCAGCACTAGGCGGGGAAGGACAACGACTGTTTGCGAGGCCTGGTGCTTGTCTGTGAATCCTTGGGGAAAATGACTCGAATGTTCGCGTGCAATGATGATACAATAATGAGGTCTCTTCCCCTACAAATGTATGTACCATCATCTCGATTAGTTGCATACAGTCCATACACCCACCGAAAACACCAAGCTTCAAGGTTCCATGCATTTTCGGTCGAAAAACGAGAACTACACCCTACAGGAAGTGAAAGTCGCACTGTTGCTTGACGAGTACCTCTTCGAGAAAAGCCATGCCTTCCGTAGGTGACACAAGATAACACACGGACCGACTTTCAAAGCTCGATCACTCCAAACCAGAAACAGCGGCGGTGCCGAAAAATGGAAGCGTTGGAGCCGTCTCGCCGTGAGCTTTCCGAAAATGTGTCACACGATTTGTGCATCCTGTCCGTGGAGTATCCGAGCATTGAAAACCAATCCAGGGGGTGTTGCGCGTTCTGTAGCTCGTCCAGCGAGATCATGATTGATCGTCATACCTTTTCGAGGGAGGTAAGGAAGCAACGCTTGGCCGCGAAGAGGTCGGGCTTCTTCCAGTAGCAATGCCCCAGAGCGGTCCAACCGTCGGGGTCAGACGGATGCAGCTTCACCTAAAGGACGTCGAAAGCCCACCACAGCAATATTGAATGTTCCGCAAACAATGGACTTGAGACAAAAATTGCAGCGGGAGCATGTATCCATGGACAAGATGGAACGAATATATATTGTCTGTGTAGCTGTTCTCGCCCAGCACGCGAGACAGCTTTTCCGGTCAACACTTGTCTTATTCCCACCGGATACGGGAGGGGTTCTTCCTCAAACCTTTGTCTTCATCTTACCGCTTTGGCCAAGCATTTCTCGGCGGCTGGGTTGAATTTGGTGAACACATCCAACGCTCGGCCCCTGTGGAAGAGGTGTGGAAAGAGGGCGGGGGTCGATATCGTTGTTGGAATTGATGCTGTTGCCCTCAGCACACCACACAGAGAGGCCGAAATCACAGGATACGGGTACGCTACGGAAAAGGCGTGCCCCGGCCGTAGAAGTTGCACGTGATCGATGTTCTTCTCATCGAAAACGCCGCGGGAACTGAGAATGCAACCGGCCACACATGTCTAGTAAGTCAAAATCGTACCACAGAGAGTGCAACTGCAAACATGGCGCAGTAAACGAAACGGCAGTTACTATCAACACCAGTCCAGCAAAGCCACAGCCTTGATTCGTTCCATCGAAAACAATTATACAAAACTTTTGCACCATTTTACAGACCACAGGGCACCTAACCCTGCTGCCCGGAAAAGTATTTCAAGCCGCACCTGTAAAGTGGTTCTCACAGTACTGCTGTAATCCTGAGTACTCATGGGCACTGTAGATTCATCAACCACCGAACCTCCTATGCATATGTAGAGATTTCTCTTTGCATGTGAATAAACGGAACTGACCACCGGGAGTTGCCAGAATATCATGATATCACACACCTGATATAGGAAACACGAGCCCGCTTGCTCAAGCCGCGGACATTGCCCACTCGCGACAGCGCCTCCGTAACTTCCCGTGCTTGGACCTCCAATCGCCTCTGAGACAAAAAAAATAGAACAAAATCAAACTTCTTTGTCCCGAAGAAGGTTGCGACGGTAGCGTCGCCGACTTGAGCAAAAACTTGGGGCCACAGAACCACTCCCCCTCAGTTTATCGCCGGTGGTGAGTGAGGCAAGGTCGGGCGATTAAACGATTCCCCTCTTGGGTCTCCCCCCCCCCGGTGTTTGCCATCGGGGTTGGGTTTTCGTCACTTGGCAACGACGTTGTAAAACAAGCCGCCCCCCCCGGTGTTTTACCATCGGGGTTGGGTTTTCGTCGCTTGGCAACGACGTTGTAAAACAAGCCAATTCACTTCGTGAACTCGGCAACCAGGTTACCGTTTTTTT